ATAGCTCATCAACGACTATCTGTTCCAGCAGTTCATGCACTCTATGAGTCAGAGGTAGTGCGTAAGCTAAGTGCGCTTCAGCGTGGTGATGTAAACGAGCAGTGGGATCAGATTAGGCAAGCAATGCATTCCGCAGCGAATGTTGCTTGTGGGTCTGAACCTCAAACCCGTCGGAGGCCTTGGATATCTCAGGAGTTAGTCGTTTTGATGGCGAGAAAACGACAAGTCCCGACCTGCCAGGATCAAAATAGAGTTAGGTGACATCTACAACGTCAGCTCACGAAGGACCGTGAGAACTGGTGGGCAACAATAGCTAGTGCAACGGAAGTAGCAGCTGCATCAGGGAATAGTCAAAGATTGTTCCGACTGATACACAATGCGGGAGGTGGGTGAACTCCAGTTAATGAAGCAGTCTGCGCTAAGAGGGAACGAGCTATTCACAATAGGAATGAGCGGCTTGATTGCTGTGCGAACAGTTCAGCTGGCCTAGTGCTAACCAGGCTGTTTCATCTCCGACTGAAGCTCCGTGGGCAGTGTCATGCGATCCTCCAACGGAAGCAGAAGTTCGGTCTTGCATTCAAGCTCTGAAGCGAGGCAAGGCAGGAGCTCTCTCCCACTCTTTTCAAGATGATAGGTGATAACCTCGTAAGCTCTATTACTACCCTACTGCGCAACATTTGGATGCAAGAGCACATTCCTTCATCCTGGGGCGAATCACTGATCGTTCCTATTTTCGAGAAAGGATCCCGCAACGATTGCGAAAACCACCGCGGGATACGTTTAATCCTGATCGTCACCAATGCTTTGGTTATACTTCGATTTCTGGCACCTTTAAGAGAGACTAACATCCGTGAACAGCAAGCCCGGATTCCGGCGTGGCCGTCGATGTATTGATCAGATTTTTATGTTGCGTCGGATCCTTGAACTGCGTCATACCACCGTCAGCCAACGATCGCAGTGTTCCTTGTCCTGAAAGGAGCCTTCAACTCAGTTGACCGCGAAGCTATGATGGGCTCCCTTCGAAAACGAATACGCCAGAAATACGTCAACTTACTGAGGTCACTGTACTCACATACCTCCGGTCGTGTAAGGGTCTACAACGAACTAAGTAGGCTGTTCGTCACCAGCAGCGGCTTTCGTCAAGGATATCCTCTTTTGCCGTTCCTCTTCAATTTCGTCGTAGACGAAATACTGGAGAGCGCACTAAGGGGTCTCCAAAACGTAGGTATTGAATGGACATCTGGAGAAAAGCTGTGTGATTTAGAGGACTGGGTTTCGTCTACTCCCGCTCTGAAACTAAGTGGCTAGGATTTAGTTATGGTGGATTATTTTTCCTACTTAAGTAGTTGCGTGACCAATGACGGTAACGCAGCGAAAGAGATAACCACCCGCATTTCCAAGGCTCGAGCAGCATACGCAGGACTGAAACACCTTTGGCGTAGACGCGACGTGTCACTGAAGCTGAAAGGTCATGTATATTGTGCTAGCGTTCGTTCAGTCCTGCCTTATGATTGTGAAACCCTGAATTTGCGATTAGAAGATATCCGTCTACTAGAAGTTTTCGATTATCGGTGTTTACGTAGTTTAGCCCATGTTGGATGAAGCGAACGGGTTAGTAACGTGGAGGTAAGGTGTCGTGTATTTGGAAGTCTATCAGGTATAAACCCGCTGGCACACCGAATTCAGTTTAGTAGACTTCGCTGGCAAGGGCACGTATTGCGTGTGCCCAGCTGTCTACCGCACCCCGCTTCATTCGCTATAGCCGCCCCGGGCTGGAGGAAACCACGCAGAGGTCAACAGATGACGTGGAAACGAGGCTTGAAGAAATATAAAGAGCTATTAGATAGAGTAGGTGTCTCTCGCCCTCCAGGTTGGGGTCCGAAAGACTCTACAACTGGTTGGTTGGAGACATTGAAGGATATGGCAGCGAACCGGCAGCAGTGGCGTTCGCGTTGACNTGCTTTAAATCATGACTGCGCGGTTAGGTTGCGCATTGTGTAGACGATAAAGGTCCTTTCGAATAGGCCTAAACTGCTTCCATCTTTTAATTACTCATATACTTTATTCACGTTTTGAGCGATCAGCGGAGTTCGCTTCACTGTATCTCACCGCACAAAAATGATCTTAGTCCTTTCAAGATGGTTTTTAACGACTGTTCAACTTTATGCTACTCATAAGTAGTTAGTAACTGAAACCAATTTTTGGCAAAAGGTGCGAGAGACCTACTCTACCTAATAGCTCGTGTGAATTTCTTTACGCATCGTCTCCACATCATCTGTTGACCACCACGTGGTTCCCCCCCAGCCCGGAGCGGCTACAGCGAATAAAGCGCGATGCAGCAGACGACAGCTGGTCATACGTAATACGTGTCCTAGCTGGCGAAGCCTACTAATTTGAACTCGATTTGCTAGTAGACTTCCAAACGCACGACGGCTTACCTCCATATTACTAACCCGTTCGTTGCATCCCATTTGAGCTAAATTACGTAAACACGGTCGAAAACTTCTAGTTGATGGATATTTTCCACCCACTATTTCAAGGTCACAATCATAAACAAGCGATAGCACAATAGAAACCACCTTTCAGCTTCAGTGAAACGTCGCGTATTTTAGGCAGCATCCGTGCGGTTTACATTTCACCGTGGCCCAAATACACTCATTTTCTTGAAAGTTTATTTTTGATTTTTGACATACGTCTAGACTATTAAGTAGGGTTTCCTAGGTATAGACTATTTGAGACGCTTGGTCGTGTTCAATTTGACAAACACCAACCGAGCCTTTTGTATGCGCGCCGACCCTTCATCTGTGATGCGTCCGTCAGGTGCGATATAGCTGTCCAGATAGCAAAATTAGTCTACTTCCTCGGCCAGAGTGAGGTTAGGAACTGGACTAATCCAATCTCGTAGCAACATTTTTGAAGGCGCAAAACGCATACCGAACATGGCTACACTAGCACTCAAGCTATCCAGAAAAGCTTGCAACTTACCTGGATCTTCACTTAGTAGTGCAATGTCGTATGCATACTTTAGATCAGACAGTCTGCCAACCGGGAGTAAATCGATGCCGGTATCGTCGCATGAGGATAGGGCTATTTCAATAATTAAATCTATGACAAAGGTAAATAAAAACGGAGAAAGAGGACAACCCCTTCGAGCACCACTTTCTGTAGTGAACTCAGGTGAAAAAGTGCCGTAAGCTCGGACTCGGCTTCGGCTGTTATTGTAGAAGGATTGTAATATTGAAATAAACTTCTCGGGTGCACCCTTGGTCGTGTAGGATCTTTTTCGTGAGCTACTAAGAAATAGTGACGAGCCAAAGCCGAAGACACCTATCTGCGATCATGCTGAGGCTATCGGCTAGCCAAAACCTCAGTCTCAAGGAGGAGAGGTGGTGTGTGCGTTCCTTTGGAGGTCGGTAAACTTAATTACCTAGTTTGACCTATGCCTCGTTCCACAATACCACTTGCAGTCAATTGGCAACAGCCACATAATTGTCTTTTTCCCCGTGTGTGCATCTCGGCCGCGGAAAACTACTGTGTACGCAGTCGAATATGAAACTGGACAATTTACAATGCGAATTGAATACCAAAGTAGGTGGCGAGGCTCAGATCTCGGACCACAGAGTCCGAAGCACACCGGTGACAGCGACTAAACCACTGGATTGGCATAGTTGCAGAACTCTACCAAGACTCTCCTTCTTTTCTTTCAGATTTCACACTCAACCAACAAAATGTCTTCGTTAATGCGTTTTTCAAAGGTGTGTTCTCAGCTAGCCTTTGGAAAAATTGGTTCTCGCGGTCCGGCCAATCTATCCACTGTTCTTAAATCGAGATACTTTTGCCTCGCGGAGCATCAAAAGCCTCTATTCATGATGCCTATCCGATGCTTATCCGCTGCACAATCTGCTCCGAAGGAAGATTACACTCTTTCTCGTGGTACGACAGTCAAGAAAAAGTTTCAAGCCGAAACACAAAAGCTCTTGGATATTGTTGCCAAGTCCCTGTATTCCGAAAAAGAGGTGAGTTTGCATTGTTATGTTATGGTTTTCGATATGTTGATAATGATAATGATAACAACGATATTGATAAAAATGATGACATCACACCACTCTGGTTTCATACTAATATACCAGGCGACCATATACCGCGACATAATGAAGTCAGCCAACAGTTGGATCAAATTAGATTGGCAATGCATTCCGCAGCAAACTTCGCTTGTGGGACCGAGCCCGAAGTTTGCAGCAGACATTGGATCTCTCAGGAGTCAATAATTCTGATGGATCAAAAGCGAAAGATCCCAATCTGCCAGGGTAAGCATAAGGACCGGTGTCGTCTGCAACCTCAACTCAGAAATAGCTTTAAGAAAGATCGTGAAAATTGGTGGGCCGAAACAGCCAGTGAAATGGAGGTAGCTTCTGCATTAGGGGAATGGTTAAAGACTTCCATCTAATATGCAGCACTGAAGGTCGTCACATACCGGTCAGTAAGACCATTTACGATAAAAGTGGACAGAGTATCTACAATAAAGAAGGACGACTTGATCGATGGGCAGAGTATTTTAGTGAACAATTCAATTTGCGTGGTGCTAATGCGGTCAGTTCGGCGGAAACCCCATGGGAGGTAGCATGTGAGCCCCCATCGGAATCGGAAATACGAAGCTGCATTGAATCATTAAAGAAAAGGAAGGCTGCGAGACCTGATGGGCTTCTCCATATTATTTTCAAGGTGGGCGGTGATTCTCTTGTCGATTCGATTACTAGCTTACTTCGCAGCATTTGGTCGGAGGAGCGTATCCCTTCGTCCTGGGGGTGAATTGTTGATCGTCCCGATCTTCAAGAAGGGATCGCGCAACGACTGCACCAACCACCGTGGGATTAGTTTAGTTCCGATAATCACGAGAGTGTTAACTTCTGTGATACTTCGCCGCCTGACATCCTTAAGGGAGAGGAATATTCGCGAACAGCAAGCCGGATTCCGTCCAGGTCGCGGTTGCATCGATCAAACCTTCACTTTGCGTCAAGTCCTAGAATTGGGTCACACGCATCGTCGGCCAACAATTGCAGTGTTCTGTGACCTGAAAGGAGCTTTCGATTCAGTTGACCGTGAGTTCTTCTCGTATCACTGCTTCGTAAAAGAATGTTGCAGAAGTACATGAACATACTGAGTTCACTATACTAGCATACTTCTGGTAGCGTAATGGTCTACGGTGGGCTAAGTAAATCGTGCGAAACCAGGAGCGGTGTTCTTCAATGGTGCCTTATTTTGCCATTCCTCTTCGATTTCGTTGTAGACGAAATATTGGTGAGCGCACTTTGTGGCTCCAAAATGTTGGTATTGAATGGGCCGCTGGAGAAGAGCTGTGCGATTTGAAGTACGCTGACGGCATCGTTTATCTGTTCGAATGTATGGAGGACGAGCAAAGCGCTCTCGACAGACTTTCANAGACTTTCAAGTTCATTAACTCCTTTCGGCATAAGCTTTGCACCTTGAAAGTGCAAATTGATGCTGCAAGATTGGGTGTCGTCTACCCTGGCGCTGATGCTTGATGGTCAAGAATTAGCTGTGGTGAAATGTTTCTCCTGCTGCATGACGAATGCCGGTAGCATAGTCAATGAAGTAACCGCCCACATTTCCAAGGCTCGAGCAGCTTACGCTGGACTGAGACACCTTTGGTGCGGATGCGATGTTTCGTTGAAACTGAAAGGTCGCGTATACTGAGCCAGTATGCGGGCACTTCTGCTCTATGGTTGCGAGACCCTAGATTTGCGTGTGGAAGATATTCATCGTCTAGAAGTATTCGACTACAGATGTTTACGTTGTTTGGCGTGGGTTGGATGTAGCGACCGTATAAGCAACTCTGAAGTAAGACGTATTTGGTATTGATTCGATGGAGAATTCGTTGTCCCATCGACTGTTTGGATAGAGACACTGAAGGATATGGTAACTAACCGACAGCAGTGGCGTTCTTGTTTTTATTTCTTATCAGGTCAGAATGTTTGAAACGGTATGTATGCAGAGTTCGATTGTGTACTCTGTGTGTTGACCATAGAGGTTCTTTTTCTTTGCCCCCCTCCAATTAGGCCCAATCCCTCTCCATCTAGTGCTTTATCACTTGATTTGTGTACATTGTGAGCTCTGCAGCGATCAGTGAACTTCGCTTCACTGTATCTCGCTGTACGATGATGATGATCGTACAAAAATCTTTCTTGTTTTGTAGTTTGTCCCCGGTTTGATAATCAGTGCGGTGAAGCAATGAGACCCAGGCCGAAATTAGTTGATTTTCCTTGGTTTTCACAACCGGCATCTAATTGACAAGTCATACGGCAGTCCTGTTGTTGGAGTTGATGAAACTCCTGGGCTCTGTATAGCAGAGGGAACAGGTTCCAACTGAATTGTATGGATTGGTTGTCTGACCGATTTACACGAAAGGTGATAGATCCTCTTGTGAAAACCACAGTAGAATTAGCTTGATCCACATTGTCTCTAAACTTCTCCGTGGTGTAACACTCCGTGGATTATCTGACGCACTTGAACGGTGTACGCGTGAGAACCAGGCTAGTTTTAAACCTGATCACGTTTGGATAGACCATATTTTCACTCCTCGCCAGATTCTAGAACACCGACATTGTTTGTATAAACCAACCATCTCTGTCTTCCTTCGAGTCAATCGATCACTCTATACGCCGGTATTGCTTTTCTTCGAACGGTATGCCAGAGAGGTTTATCTCATGATCACCATCGCTTTACACTAATATCGAGCTTACGGCACTTTTGCGCTCGAGGTCACTACGAGATGTGGTGTTCGTTAGGGTTGCTCTCTCTCTCTCTCCCCCCTTCTCTATTCAACTTTGTAATTGATCCGATTCTGGACACTCATGCATGTGATCAATTTCATCGCGGTGCTGGTTTACCTAAATTAGCTATTTTCACCTTGCAACTGATTTCAGCATTCCAATTTTCTCTCTACCTCTTCATCCAAATGGCCAGTCAAAAAGTAACAACCAAAACCAACCCACGAAAATACCCGCTAATAGTTGCATTTACTGGAACTGAACTGCAAACCGATAGTGACTGACTTAGAAACTACAGTCCCAAACCGCGTGAGCTGTGTTAGTGAGTCGGGGACTAGTCATATGAAAGTTGTTGTATCCCAAATTTAGTAGGCAAATGAGCACACAACGAATGAAGTAGTAAGTTTATTGTAAACAGCAAATATGTAGCCGATACACAAATCGGGGAACAAGTAGGAACGATCAGCGTGTAGGAAGGCGGGCAGGCAGACAGACATAGTCCGGCTCACACGTCGCAGTCAGTACATGCGAATGCCATCAAGCCAGAATTCAAACAGTCAGTCAATCGATCAACCGATCGATCGATCTATCAATCTGACCATGAGCATGCATGAACACAAATCAGTCAGTTGTAAGCCATAACAGAAGTCAACAGCCGACTTGGAGTATGTGAAATCGGAAAGAGGTTTGCTTTCGCGGCTACGGATTTCAGATGCAAAAGCTAAAGGTTAAGACCCACGGCAGTGTTTTTTCCACTGTTCGTCAGAGTTTATTTTCTAGCGAGTTGTTCATTCACTCTCACTATTTTTTGGACTGTAGTTGTTGATCACAAAAGTCGTTCCGTTTGTCCCCTCACTCTGATTCGCTATGCGATAATGATGAGGACGCAGTACCTTCACATTGCATTTTGTTCGCACTGGCTGTTGTTCAGTCTTAGAAACGTGCTGGTCTGAAAACTTCTAATCGAGTTTCACAAAGAAAAACGAAGCTTCATGAGATCTGATCTCCCGGATATTTTTCATCACTCACAACGACAAATCTTAATTCCGGTTCTTTAAGGACCATTGCCGACCGTTTAGAATAATTTATCCATTATCAGAATAATACCAATGGATCTTGATCACTCAAGGTTCCCACATGATCTCCATATGCTATTGAACCATCCTGATTGGCTGTTGAGCTAAAAGAAGTGCTCCGGTGGTCTAGTAGTTGACTCCAAAGTTGTGGAATATTGCGAACATTTAACTAATGCTATAAAGTATGGATTATTCAGATACACAATTAACTAGATAGTCTAACTTGTGTTGGTAATTTTAAGATGCTCCTCTCAACACCTGGTTACGTTCGCCGGGGTTAAACCTTCAAAGGCTGACAGAGGATACGTTTAAGGTACAAGGCATACCTCACCCACAAACTCGCCCTAGTCCTTTTTTCCATCAATGGGTTCCGTTTTTAAGCCTGCATATTTTAATTCCACTTTGTCTCACACATGATTTGACTCGTCACCCATTTCACTCCCTCCGTCTTCAGGTGTTTATCCGTGAACTGGTATCCAATGCTAGTGACGCGATTGAGCGTTTACGATTCCAAAACACAACCCAAGCTACACAACCTGATCAGTCACAAAATCCCATGGAAATTCGCATCCGAACAGACAAGTCCAAAAAGTTGTTGATTATTGAGGACACCGGTATTGGTATGACTCGGGAAGAGATGGAAGAGAATTTGGGCACAATCGCTCGTTCCGGGAGTCGAGAGTTTCTGTCCGGATTGAAAGAACAAAATCAGGCGGTGAATAATACGGATATTATTGGCCAATTCGGTGTCGGATTCTATGCCACATTCATGGTTGCCGATAAGGTTAGTTGCAATCATTCTCCTTTTAAATGATCTGTGTGTGTGTGTGTGTGTATGGTTTTCTTCTGTGGGAGACAATGAATGTAGGGATTGGAGAGGAGAGGTTGAACAGTGGGGGGACTATTTCAAACACGCAAGAATCGTATTCTGAAACCGGCTACTTTACTATTTGTCAGTAGGCATTTTATATAAAACGTGCCGATGTTACGAATGCGACCGAGACATTCCATTGGTGGAAATTGCCTGGACCATCAAATAACATAATTCAAGGTCACTCGAGGTGTACCCATATTGGTTTGATTGTTCGAAGATTCACAGGGCGATTTTGAAGTTGTTATTAGAACAGCCGGAACTACGGGACTCCTTGGAACGTTCAGACAAACATTTGGACACATTTTTCGATCAATCAGTCAGATCCCGGCAACAATATTGCATAGTGATGGCAGTGGTGGTGGCCCGGTGGTAGCGTCGCGAAATTATCACCCCGGATTGCACGTGTTCGAATCCCACCACCACCGCCTGGCTTTCCTCATTATGTGTTGTGTAGCAGCCTTTCAATTAACCGCTTCCTCCTTCCTGAAAATTATATCATTATGTACTCAATAAAAGGAAGTAAAAATTAAATAAATATTGTATTTTCTTGATTACGGTCCCTCAGACTGACACATTTAGTTTTATTCGTTTCCGTATATCTCACAGTGTTGCTAATATGTTCATATTCATGTCTTCGATCATGATGCTGAAATTCTTCGAGGAAAAGATGAGTTTTGTCAAAACTACGTTGTAACATGGAGATAGGACTAACCTACCCACGATGTGATTTTCGCGCTTTGGTTGGATGGATTATTTGGTCAAAGTAGACCGCATTTGATCTGTTATTGCAATCTCAGATTTTACGCGTTTTCCTACTTCTGTTTCCAATATCGGGCTTCTGACGCAGTTGAATGAATACTGAATAGACCGGTACATACCTAAGGAGAAATAATTCTCCCAGCTCATTGACAAGCATTTTAACAGACTTGCGAAAGTTCTTCCCACCCAATTTGTTCAAATTTTGTAATATCTCTCATTTGGGGACATCTGTTCTATGGTCAATAATCACCGTTTGCCACCACCGTGTCACTTCGTCAGGTGGAAGTCTATTCCCGCTCGCAATCAACCAGCAAAGACTCTACTGTTGGCTATCGATGGTCTTCCACCGGGCATGATGGAGAATTTGAAATGTGCGAAGTGCAAGATATGCCCGCGGGGACTAAAATTGTACTCCATCTGAAAGGTGATTCCTCGGAATTTGCCGATGAAGAGGTGGTCGACAAGATTTTGCGCAAATACAGCAATTTCGTAACCGCGCCGATCTTTCTGAACGATCGTCGTATCAATGTGATCGAGCCGACTTGGGTTAAAGATCCGTCCAAGGTAAGCTATTCCATCGAACTGTCTTTCAGTGAGAGTTTATTTGACTATACTGTGTTCTGTTCACAAATTACGCAACTTTATATGGTTCGGTGGTGGTGGCGCAGTGGTTTATTCGCTCTCACCAGCGTGCTTTGGACCCTAAGGTTCGAGGCCCGCCACCCGACTTTGGTGGTAGGCAGCTCTGCTGTCGTCCGGTTCAATACCACGCCTAACCTATCGGGGCCTTATGCGGTTCGCAACTCCAAGTCCCGGGGCTTAGGTTACCAGTTTCCACCACTGAACAGCAGGTCTTCGCGACTGTGGGGTTCGCCCCGTCTGCTGTTTATCACACCTAGGTGTGTAATAAAAAAAAGTTGTTTCGTTTTTTTCGTATTACCACAATGATAATGTTCTTCAAATGACGCATGGACCCTTATCGCTATATATATATATATATATTTAATAGTAAGTAGTAGTATGTGAATGACTGGACAAAATTTCCCTAGAAGCACACTACCGGTTTCGCTGTTCTTGCCGCTCGTCAGGCATGCGTATCTGGTAATCTCTCGTCAGTTCATTCACATGATTGTACCCAGGAAGTGTATTTTCGTCACAATAACCTTGTTTTCAACACCGAATGATTTTGCATGGACTTTGTTGCTGTCGGTAGCATCTAACCCACCTACGAAACATTGAATCATCGTATTGATTATTCAATGGACTGGCTCTGAAAGAGCTGTCTCTCTATCTAAAAGTAACCTGGTGTTGCAAACAAGGTTGTATTGTGACGAAAATACACTTCCTGTGTATAAGCATATAGATAAACTGACAAAAGATTAGTTTTCCTCTTGTATCACCAAACTGACTGGGACAATCGGGCGAGGAGAAACACAGATGGATAGAAGGACACTAAACAGAGATGACTGAACTGTTTTGTATTAAGATCGAAAGGATGTTAAAATTTCGTCTAATTCTCTCAATCACTGACATAAAACAGACGAGCACATTGGATTTGTAAATGCTAGTAAAATGAAATGTACAAAAATCGCCATATCACAAACTTGCTCGATAATTGGTGAAAATTCTACATCCTTTTCGTAAGTCTTTAACATTCCATTGTTTTTAAAGATTCTTTTGAACTCCTATGCTTAGAAAATTTAACAACATCTTTACAGCAGATGTATTCGATAGATGTGGATTCCCTGTTCACCAATGTTCCCCTTCATGACAGTTGATTTTTTTGGTGATTGTATTTCTTTAGGCAATCGCGGTCGCCCATTGGAGCAATTGGTTGACCTCCATCGATTACGTTGGCTTGGGGCATGTGTTACGCATGTCACCAAATAGGCTGCCACGGCGCGCGATGTTTGCCGAGGCAGATAGTGGGTGGAAGAAAGTCAGGGGTGGTCAAACTTAGACCTGGCATGAGGGTATGAAAACCCTAACCAGGCGTCTGGGTCACATAGGTCCCATTAGGCTCCCTGGATGGGGACCACGGGATGGTCATGCCCGATGATTAGAGACACTAATTGATGTAGCTGGGTGTCGTCAACAGTGGCGTTCGTGCATCTTGTCGATTTCTCTGCAAAATCAGTGCAGTGGAATCCTAAATTTTCTCCAATCCTACTTTCAATCTTCTCTGTCTTTCCCCTTATGTTTATCCAAATGGACAGCCAAAAGAGACCAGCAACCATAACCGGCACACAATAGTGCATGATTNTGTAGAAACTCAAACTGAATATTTCTTTAGGTATTTTTTTTCCTTTGAATGCTTTCCTCTTGAATACTTAAGAGAACTAATGTTTTATGTACCGAAAATATTCGTTTTAAATTCGAAGGAGCTACATGCAAACAGACCGTTGGTGTAGCCATAGACAGTCCTTTGGATCCAATTCTAACTGATGTGTCTTTAGGAATGATTGAACAAAATCTTATCAATAATATCTCCCGGTCCACTTTGTACAGACGTTATGTGGACAGTATTTTTTTATTCTTACGGAGCGTGAACATTTGGAATCCCATGAAGAAGAAACCAACGATTCTGTAGCATTTTTGGATATTAGAATTACGAGGCGCTTAGGTGGTACATTACAACGTTCTATACACAAAAAACAACATGAGGTGGTCAACATCCACAGTTCTCCAGTTTCTCACTAACGGATTACGAACGTGGACTTGTAAGAACTGTATTTCATCGAGCCAGAAACATTTGTTCCCTAGACACACTATGAGGAGAAGATGAATTCCTGAAGAAAAAGTTGCTACGAAACGGTTACCCCTAAAGATTCATTGATATTCATAGTAAACAATCTCAAAAAGGCAGCCCATTGCTATCAGAAAGCCGTTTGCATCAAACTATCACCTTCTGAACGATGTGCGCTAAAANAAAAGTTAAAGTCATCTCTTAATCGCACATTCCCAGCTGCTCAACTCCGACTTACTGCCTCTGCTCATAGAATGGATTTGGACAAATACGTACATGGTTGGCAGTCCAGTTCTATCTCACACACTGTATACCAGTTCACCTGCAGTTAGAGTGGCGCATACATAGGCAGAACCAACCGTCAAGTATCACACAGCGGATGGCCGAACACATTCCAAAGTGGTTGGTCAAGTCGATGACGCAACAACCCACGCCCAGTAATCAGACGGTCACACGTAATCNATTGCAAAACACCTCATGACAACCACGCACATGATCTCTCCTGCTTTCTCTGTCAAACCATTCTCGTTAGTTATTTTCTTATTTCCATGTGCGCTCCGTTTCAGATTACCGATGAAGAACATTTGGCCTTTTATCAGTACTTATGCGGTAACACGTATGACAGCCCGCGCTATTCATTTATGTACAAAACGGATGCGCCGATCAACCTGCGTGTACTCCTCTATGTGCCCAGCTTCAAACCGAGCCTTTTTGATGTGGCTCGTGACAACGATTCCGGTGTTGCGCTTTATTCCCGTAAGGTACTGAATGAATCATTCAACAACTGAATAAATCTATCAATAAGCTAGCCGTCCAACTGCTCATCCATTTTTGAATTGTGATCATTTGCATAGACTACTACGTTGCATACTGTTTTGTAAGTAGTTAACTTTTCATGAAATGCTTTGTTCTCTGTTGACAAATTATTGAAATTCTCAGCTTCCGTGAATTGAATTCAGTGTTGCCTGTTTACCGAGCTTGGTAATTTGTTTGCAGACGTCTCTTCACCACCAGCCGAGGTGGGGTGTTGTTCTCCCGTCTTGATTGCATTTTCGCTCTGTTCTCAGATCACGGTGTGACCTCGTGCTGCGTCATTTGAACCCTAAGTTGCCTAGGCGTGTACATGTGATCCAGTTTGATGTGTCTGTTTATTAAGTTGATTGAAGAGTGCCAAGAAAGCCTCGAGAAATTCTCTGGCGTGTTTTGACCGGGCTTGATCGATGATTTTCACTGATTTGAAGTCTGATTGGTGTGCTTCTTGATCGTCGTGGAGATAAATCAGCGGTAATAGGTCATGCGTCCTTACTGCCGATTTGTGTTCACAGATCCTCTTAGATAGTTTTCTTCCAGTTTGTTCCATATAGTGTTCTGAGCATTTCTTGCAGTTTATTTTGTAGATCACGCTGCTCTTGTCCTTCTCCATTGTTCTCTCCTTTGGTTTTGAAAGAATTCTATGTAGATAGATGGTCGGTTTGTGGGAAATTTGGATTCCGTATGATCTGAGCGGTCTTGCTGTCATTTCTAAAACGTTCTTAATGTACGACAGAGTCGCTCTTGTTCCCGATTATCCGTCTTTTGTTTCCTTCTTTGAACCAGAGTTATTCTTTGATGAAGTGTAGGTCATTACGAGCAATTACTCGTTCTTTGATTGTATCGGTGATGAGTTTCGTTTGGATTGTTCCTAACATAGCATCTTTGATGGCTGTGTGGATGATTACTTTTGAATTTTAGAATTTGATCCGTATACGTTGCTTTGCGGTAGATCGTTATCTCCAGGTTTCCTGACGACGTTCCAGTGATCAATATGTCGGAAAATATCAGTTATTTATCCTTCCCCGTCTCCCTTGTGAGAATGATGCTATTGAATGTGTGATGTGTGAGTACAAGCAGAACACTGCCACATCACAAGCACTGAAGATTGTATTCTATCGTATCGTATTAAAGCCTTGGCGAGTTATATCCAAGCTTTCAGCTAATACTGGTAAAAAAAAGTGAAAATGTGGGACGTCAAACGTGCAAAAATAATAATTAACTACAAAAATGCTTTAGAAAGCTGAGAACGAACACTTTCCTTGTTGGTCAGTATTCGAGCAAGGTAGGGTACCAAAGAGTTTCTGAATGCACACATCCGAGAGGGTTGGAATTTGCATGCACAGAATTCGATGTATACAGGATGGGTGCGATCAGCTAGGATATTGGCAACCAACTTCAAGCACGCATCAATATGAGCGTTACACACATTGCCAATCCGAACAGATAACGAAACTTGGGAAACACGGCTGATCGTGAAAGTTATAGAGTTAATAACGGCTGATCATTGAAAGGCCACGTACGAGCAACCTGAAATCGGCGTTCCGCGAACCAGGAAAAATTAGAGGGGAGCAGTCAAGGGGGCGGACGTCGGGTGTCGTTGAATAAAAAGCTCCTCCCATCACCGACAAATGAAAACAGACGTGGCACAGTCTTCGTATCGCAAAGAAGATAACTCTCAGCTTGCGAGCAACAGTTTTGGGTGTGTGAGGACCAGCGAAGGTTACTTTCAAGTGTGACACCTAAGTGCTTCACATGACTGATCCTGCTCATCGGCTTTCCCTAAATCTGTACATTGTCAGACGGAGATGGGGAACGGTTTAGAGTAAAAATACATTCAAGGCATTTTTCAGGATGAAGTGGAATATGAAACGAGGCGGGATAAGTTTGTGTCACCTGGGCTGGTAATGAAACGTTTGCAAACAGATGGCCAAGCCCAGTGAAAGGGCGAAATTGAATTTGGTTCTCTTCCTCAATATGCAAAACGATCACTCATTGATGAAGATAATCAGAACAACGGATCAGCAATTGTCTGATAGAACAGAACGGAGCTCCGTAAACCTGCGGCAAAAAAGCAACGTTTAAAATCCTTGTACTTCGACTGTGCATCCAATCACTTGCTGAGTACTTTCAGTCAGGTCCCCAAATTACCTAGAGTGAGAGGAAGAACAAAGACCCTCTGACTGTCAGATCCCTGTATCTGTGTGTGTTCGAATGAATGCATCAAGCCCTAAACCACATGACAAGAGCGATAATCATAACACCATAAGAGGTCAAGGTCAATGACACTGCCTGTTCACTTGCTGACGATTGGCACCCCTATCAAGGTCTATATGAGAACCACCAGGGGTGTTAGTCGAAAAAAGAACACCCAATGGCATTCATCTTTAGTTCGATGAAGACGAATTACTGGGATGTGGTTCAGTTTGTTTCCAACACCTTTGCAACACACCGCAGCGGCAGCAACACTGTCACCGATCTCTGTTTCCATTTGACATTCATTACTAATGTGGCAAAAAGCACAAACCCTTTTTGTGGTGGTATCACGTGCACCCGAACTATAGAAGCACAAAGTATTGACGAGGTAACGTCTGGCCCGAATAGTGGTCAACCTCCATAGACTACGTTGATCTGGGCCTGTGTTACGCATGCCACCAAATAGGCTGCCACGGCGCGCGATGTTTGCCGAGGCAGATAGTGGGTGGAAAAAAGTCAGGGGTGGTCAAACTAAGACCTGGCATGAAGATATGGAAACCCTAACCAGGCGTCTGGGTCATATAAGTCCCATTAGGCTCTCTGGCTGGGGATCTCGGGACAATCGCACCCCATGGTTAGAGACAGATGTAACTCCCCTAGGTGAATTACCAGTGGTCCACCAACCCAGTTATCGCTCCAGCTGTCCGCTTTTCGTGCTCTCACTTTGGTGGGAAAACACTTCGGTCCCACGAGAAGGCAGTGAGTATGGTTTCCTCAGCAGAGGCTGTTTTAGACGCTTAATCGTATAGGAGCATTTCGTGAGGTGCAAGAGATGAGCGACCAGCCGCAACCCGGCCATACCAAAGCTTTCGGAGGCCATGTAATTCAGTAGTAGAGTTGAGAGGTTAGGTAGATCAGAGCCCGCCTAAATGACGTCACCGTATCGAAGGATTTCTTTTTCACGACAACTGGGTACGACACGTTTTTCTTGCAGATAAACCATTTCTGGATCTGTAAATACTTGCAAGACCATATTGTGGAGTGTTTAACCCCAGTTGTATTCGAATATAAAATAAATCGCTGGGAAGATCTGTTTGTTACCTGTATGTGTGTGTATGTATGTATGCACCTCTGAAGGTGAATTTATCTATATCTACTAAATTCCTATGTCAAATTTAAGTTATTCCCCATTTACTGGCACGTAGCTAACGCATTTCGATATATGCTTTGGCAACAGGTGTTGATCTTGAATCGAACCGGCGCGTTGCTTCCAAAGTGGCTTCGTTTCATGCGCGGTGTGGTGGACAGTGAGGATGTTCCGTTGAATTTGAGTCGTGAACTGTTACAGGACAGCGCTTTAATCAACCGAATCAAACGTCTGCTTACAGGCAGAATCATACAGTTTTTCTCGGTGAGTTGTTTTCCATGTGTGCCGATTGACTGTTGTGTGTGTGTGTGAGTGACTTGATAGAACGGTTTCGTATTGGCCTCCGAGTCACTCATTTCACCAGTACCAAGAGGGAGTTTATCATTGTACTGAGAGAGGGAGACTACCAAAGTGCGGTGTTGCAAAATCATGCAGATTCCATGTTGCCCGACATAGTACCATGCTTATTCTATTCGACCCTTGACTGGTTTCATATTTTCAGAAGTCTGTTCCCATAACTGAATAACTATTCCTCTCGACTGTGGACTTGATTGCCTTTACCGTTTATCACACACACAAAGTCATACAATAAAACAGTTAGTTCCGATAGGATTTCACTTGAATTTTTTTATTACATACCTAAGTGTGATCAACAGCAGACGGGGTGAACCTCATAGTCACGAGGACCTACTGTTCAGTGGTGGAAACCGGTAACCTAAGCCCCGGGACTCGGAGTGGCGATCCACATAAGGCCCCACTAGGCCAGGTATTGAACCGGATGACAGCAGAGCTGTATACCACTAAAGTCGGGTGGTGGTGGCGGGGCTCGAACCTCGGACCACAGCGTCGAAGCACGCTGGTGACATCAACTAAATTACTGACCCACTACTGTCGAATAAAGTCATTCGTATTCAGGATAATTTATATTTTAGATAGCGGACAATAACAACCAACTAACGTGTGCTACCCAGGAATATTTTAGCTAGTGTCCAATTCCGTCGTATCTCCCGTACACTGATCTCAGTGAATGAGCACTCCTGATAGAATAGCTTTCTCTCTGTTCCACGTTTTTCAATTCACTAAAACTTTCGACCACGCGATAAATATCTCACTAGTCTGTTGGACATCTTCATTTCTGCTTGTCCTATTGTATAACGATACTATAACAGGCCTAGCATAATGATGCGTGCGTGTTCGTTAAAGGGCTCAAAAACAACCAACTTAGCTAAGTTGCTTTACCAGTTTGGCTAACTTTTTAATACGTTTCACAGTAGCGAACAAACTACCCCCAGTTCTCCCCCCCCCCGCGCGCCCGGATGGTAAACCAATGGTATCGAGCCATCCAATTTTACCGCATTGAATACACAATAATATCAGTCACGGGCAAGAAATCTCATCGGATCGACCGATCAACTGTTGAAACCAATACTGTTGCTGTGTGTGCGCAGTCTTGTCTTTCGAACGCTGAAGGACTCTGTGCAATGGACGCGACTGAGGAGGGTCAAAACTACAGGCAACACTTTGTGGAAGCATGTACGATCTTCAACCACAAAGCACAAACTGGCGCTCCTTGAATGGTCCGTTCTGTGTGGAGAATGAGCTCGATAATGTTGTTGTTGATTGTTTTTTTTCCCACTCCCTATTGGTTGTGAACCTGGCAGGGTCTTTCACACTTACTCGAGCACTGTTCTACTTGCTTCATCTCCTTTTTTCTGTTTAGCGCGAAGCGTCTCGTGATGCGGCCAAGTTTGATGTGTTTCTCAACGATTTCGGTCTGTACTTGAAAGAGGGTTTGATCACCGAACCGGAGCACGAGACACGAGAACAGATTGCGCGTCTGTTACGTTGGGAATCGAGCGCGTTGCCGGTTGGACAAAAAACAGGTCTGGATGATTATGTGAGTCGAATGGCAGCCGGGGAACGATCGATTTATTTCCTCTCGGCACCAAGTCGTCAACTAGCCGAGTGTTCACCGTATCTGGAAGCGGTTCGCAAGAAAGCGACCAATACCGAGGTAAGAAGTTTGTGAATGTGATAAGTATTTTCTGTTATCAATTTTCTATTCGCAATCAAGGTGACAACCTTACCAGACAGGCATGGGCTGTTAACAAGAAATATCTGTTGCCGGTATAGTCAAAATAAGGTCCCATCAACTGACCTGTGACACAGTCTGGATGCTGACGACTGGAACTCGTGCGTATGCTCGCGGACTGCAAGTGTTGTGGGTTATTCTACTANNNNTATCCGGTAGCCCCCAAACCAGACGTAACTGACAACCCATAGGTTGGCGTCGTAAGCTGATATTGATTGATACGGTCGTCATATGCCTTTCCAATGGAATTGCCACTTCCCGGTGACCTAACACACCCTACTCTGACCTAGAATGCCCCAAGAGTGATTCCCATGCGGATTTGAAATCCGCGTTCTTCAATGCCCCATGCCCTTGAACGCTGTTTTCTAGATGAGTACTGTCTCACTGCAGTGTGGTTGTCCTCATCAAGCGATAGAAACTTTTTTTAGAAGATTCTTCGTCCGTTTTCTTAATCTGGATGCTCGCATTCCATCGGCAAAAAGAAGACACCACACCTCGCGTACACTCTGATCATGTGATGCACAGGGAGGTTTCAAGCGGTTGCCGGTGATGAATTTCAATTGATATAACAACGAAACGTCAGCCTCTAAAGGATATGCACGTTGGAGTCAGTCTTGTTCATATTGCACGACCATTTAGATGAAAAGAAAATCGTTCAACCGAGTACAAATGACCTTGATGACAGTCAGTGTTTGATAGGCCTTCGTTGATTCTCTGACTTCATTGCACTGAATACATAAGTAGGCAAATTGAAAACAACTGAATTACAACTTGCCACGCGCATCATAACGCAGCATCTAGAATAAGAAATTAAAAAACAGTGGCTGACTGACTGAATTACTCGAAGTCTATCTCAGTTTCTCTTCAAACTTTTCTGTGTCCAGACCATCGTACAAACATCAGTTGTCCGTAGGCGTGATAGGAACAGGTTGCCCAAGCGAAAGCCGGTTTGCTTTTCATTAATCCACAACTGGGACCTTCTGATAATCAAAGCCCAATTAAGGAAACAAGCAACGAATGATGTGCACAGACCGCGCTTCATTGGGGACGAGTGTCCTCGCCACCGTCATCATCATCTTCATGAGCAATTGGTCGACCTCCGTAGATTACGTGCGCATGTCACCAAATAGGTTATCACGGCGAGTCATCATCAACATCATCATCGCACATCGAAATACAGTGTGGCGAACTTCACTGATCACTAGCAATACATACAAGGTTAGTGATAAAATTTACGGTGGGCAGGAATTAGACCTATTTTGAGGGAGCGAGAAGAAAGCAAACCAGGATGGTCAACACACAGAGTGCCCGATCGAACCCTGCATACATACCGCTTCAGTTGTTCTAGCCTGATAAGATAAGAAAAGAAAAACACCTTGGCTGTCGGTTCGCTGCCATGCCAGCGTGTCATGCACTCTTGAGTTGTGGTTCGCACCTCCACGGTCCTCAGTTTATTCTGTCATTCAATGGAGCACGTGTCCTGAAGCCACCTCGTGGACCTCTTTTCTGTCTGCTTGAAATCAAGTTTGTTAAGCTCCCTTAGATGAGCCCGTTTCTCGTGGCATATCAGGCTGGTTATAGTGTAATACGAACGCACTCTGCGCTGCCCCAGTGCAGCGGAGTTAACACAGGTGCGCGGCAAACTGTCCTTCCTCTCGTATTCTCACATCTGCAGACGATACGAGGCTTTGCGTGCGAAGGATGGCCCCAGGGTACGATACAATCGGGAGACACTGGCAGACAAGTACCCCGTGGATCGGGATTAAAGATAAACCTGCAAGGCAAAGCAAATAAAGCGCGATAACCCCAAAAGGTCAAGTGAGATACAAGCACTCACAATAAAATGTTACTGGCGCGGTCGCTAAGCGTTACAATAGTGCGGATGTTAGCTTTTCGCCCTCATAGTTAAACAACTCGATCTGAGACGTCGATGAGTAGGACTTCATCAACAGATGATTAACGGATCGCATTCTGTGAAACCTGAAACCGATGTCCATCATCCATAGAGAAGCTGGGGTTGTCTGGGAGCAGAGAATAAAACATCTGGTGGATTCGAGTGTATGCAATGGATCCCTTTATCTCATTGACGTTGACTTGATGATTGATGTTTCATTTTACATTGTGTTTTTGCCATCCAACTTGATTCATCTTACCGTATTCTCTGGAACAATCACCTTCTGTAGTTCAAAATGGTCTATTGATAAACTATTGGGAAAAAACACCATTGCTCATAAAATTTCCGCGCAGTGAGTGATAATCGAGCCGTGTCATTGTGCTCAGTCGATTTTGTTTTCAACCGTAATAGCGGTTTGTAGTTTGACATAACTACCAACCGGAAACGCTTTTTACCAACTGGTCTCCACTGTTTCCTACGCTTCTACTTAATTCGGACCACGTTCATCCTTCTCTACAAGCCGGTTTTTTCACTAACCAAGGGTGCTATCAACTGGGCTGTCTGAGCCAAATTGAAACATTTCCGTCAACAGTTCGCCTCGGTTTTGACCACCGCTTGATGAATTCGGTTCACCATCGATATCACGTTGGGCTCTGACGCGACTCGCACAATTAGTTGCTAGCCTCACTTATCGTACAATTCACAATTTTTTTTGTTCTACCGTGTGCATAAACAGACGCATACAAATGTGATTCCGGTTACAAAGATATGACGATCAAACTAAGTGGTTATGGTACACAAACATAGCGACCCAGTTCGGACGGGACCCTTCGTCGATCTGCCAGATCGTAGAATTATACCCTTGGATCCGAATTGTGTCATATTCCGTGCCGAACACGTGCCACTCAGTCAGCACTCGACACGCGCTCATGTCAGCCTGACTGGGTTGTGCGGATCCAATGCGCCGTGGATTTGCTTGTTTATCGAAGCCAAATTTATCATACACATTCGATGTGTCATGCCATTGAAAAGCCACACGAACATTCTACACCAATCAAATCTACCGGGCCTGGAACAGCTTGCCGAAGTCTAAACGTTTGTTCTGTGTGCTTCACAACATCACGGTCGATTGTGTTCCTTAGTTGGCTTTCTTAAAGATATTCTCAATCTGCCGGCGGGGGGAGAGGGGTTGAGGAACACGGGCAAAGCGTAAATGATGTAATTGTTGTTGTGCGAAGACCAACTAAGAGTATTGAACAGCTTGTTGGGATTGATTCATCAGCAATGTGTTTCTGTTGGACTGAAACCTCATCGGGAACCGAAACTCTCACCGCAGAGCTACACGGTCGGTGAACACTATCGATGCGCACGGTACTGTGGATGGAGAGTGTTATTTTGTAATTTTATTCCATGCGAATCTGCAAACACCATCATCATCGCATCAGGCGTTTACATATATAAGGTGATCATAATACAAATGTCTGATTTGTCGATTAGAG